GATCCCGGGACTCCAGGATCATGACCTGAGCCGAAGGCAGTCGCTTAACCAACTGAGCCACCCAGGCGCCCTAAAATTCCAGGTTTTGAGTCCCACTGGTTGTAAGAACTTAGAACATTCTGCCCCTCTTGTTTTCAAAGCCAAATGTTATGGGAATTCGTTTTCCGTGTAGGGGGTCTGTTTCTCTCCCTTCTCTGTGCCCTCGGTTGCTTCCCTCCCATGGCTGGTTGGGCAAGTTCATTTAGTTCTGACCTTGTCTCCACCCTTCCTACCCTCTTTGATGTGGCTTCTTCTCTACGTTTAGTTGTGGGGTTTATTCTGCTAACCTTCAGGTAGTTTCTGATGTGAGTGTTACCTAGTTGTATCCATGGGACGAGGTGAGACTAGGGCCCTCCTACTCCACCATCTTCCTGGGAAGTCCTTCCAGTTATATTTTGTTATGAATTTTTAACAGTTGCATTGTGGTCAGAGAAGGTGATGTATATAATAGGCTTCTGAAATTTATTGAAGTTTGCTTTAAACTGCACAGTGTGGTCAATTTTTATAAATGTTCTGTGCACATTTGAAGAGAATGTGTATTCTATAACTGCTGGGGGTTGGAATGTTCTGTGCAGGACTATTTGATCAAACTTGTTAATTGTTTTATTCAAATTCACTGTATCCTCAGTGCCTTTTTTTGTCTGCTTAGTTTATTAATTATTGAATTAGTTGTACTAAAAATCTTCCACTTTGGGGCACCTCAGTGGCTCAGTTAGTTAAGTGTCCAACTCTTGATCTCAGCTCAGGTCTTGATCTCAGAGTCGTGAGTTCAAGCCCTGTGTTGGGCTCCATGCTGGGTGTGGAGCCTACTTAAAACAAAAAGCTTAAATAAAACCTTCCACTTTGATGGTAGATTGTCAATTTCACCTTGTAATTCTGTCCCTTTTTGCTTCATATATTTTAAGGTTATGTTAAAAGAACATACAGAGTTTGACTTTTTATATCTTCCTGGCAAATTAGAACTTTCAGCCATAAAAATCTTCTTTATTACTAGCTATATTTCTTATATTAAAGTCTGTTTTGTCTTATATTAATATAATGAAACCAATTTCCTTTGTATGATATTAGCTTGGTGTCTCTCATTTTATCCTTTGGCTTTTAATCTTTCTGTGCCTTTATATTAGGAGAGTTTTTTTTTAAATAATCGGCATAGAACTGAATGTTTTATTCACCTTAATGTGTGTCTTTTTTTTAATAACAGGTTTTTTTATTATTATGTTAATCACCATACATTACATCATTAGTTTTTGATGTAGTGTTCCATGATTCATTGTTTGCGTACAACACCCAGTGCTCCATGCAGAACGTGCCCTCTTTAATACCCATCCACCAGGCTAACACATCCCCTCACCCCCCTCCCCTTTAGAACCCTCAGATTGTTTCTTAGAGTCCATAGTCTCTCATGGTTCATCTC